TTACAAAGTACGACCCAAGCTGCTTAAAACTGAGCTCCGTAAAAGCAGGGCAGCTGAGCAGCAATATTAAGACGTACTACATGAGCTCCCATTGGGCAGTGTTCAGTCCGAATGCCCTCCAAAGCCGACAGCTATCGCTTAGTAAGCTGGAGAAGGTTCTAGCGTATGCTTGACCGACTAAAATTCGATTTCTGCATAAGAAGTCCGCAAGTACCCAAACGACATCCCTTTCATTGGTGATGGCTTTTATGGTGCCCTGCCTGGAAACTTCATCAGCACTGCTGTTTCCTGCAATCTCTTTGTGTGCAGAAAGCCAAATAAGTGTGATGTGGAATTAATCTAAGGCATTATAGAGAGAGAGAGAGAGAGATCAGACGTTCCCAGAGCAAGTTTGGCCTTACCATCAGCGATCCCAGCGCTCTGGTCACCGCTTAGATGTCCGAGTAGATATTTACCCCACTAAACGGTATCGGCTACCTCTGCAGAAGTTCGGTAACCTAAATTTAATATCTAAGTGTAGTTCCTCACAGAAACCGCCTGCTTTAATACTGCCATCAAGCTTCGACCCATCCGTGAATATATTCACCGGTCCTTTGTTCCAGAGACTACCCCCTTCCCATGCGTCCCTTGCGAGTCCGCAGCTTACAGAACAGTTTGTGAACAAATTTATGTAACCCTGCATAACGCCGTACAGCGTGTTCAGAAACTGCCATGGCACTTAATCTACTAGATATTTTTGCATAAAATGCACATAAATTTGCAAAAAGCTAAATTAAAAGCCTGCACATATATACATACATATATAGGGTGTAGGGCCGCGCACATTAGACCAATTAGTGCCGGCGGTGCAGCAATAATGTAGCCATGCAAGGGACTGTGCAAAAGACCACTGAAACATCAGCCATAAAGTTGGAATATCAAAGCTTCTTGTCCACGCATCAATTTTTCAATTAACCATAATAGCTTACATAAAATCATATAAAAAGTGAATTGTATAAAACAATAAATAATACTCATACATATGTACATATTTACAAATGTGTCGCTTCCTGCGTGTGTGTGTGTGACTTTCAGTCTGATAACTATAAAACAATATATGTATGTACATATATAAAAAAATGGACTGAACATAAGAATGATAATGCTAAATAAGCACGGTCAATGAAGTAAAAACCACAACATGGACGGACATAAGTATGTATATTAGTGAATATATGTATAAGTTTATTAAAAAAAAGCAAACGCCGGCGCTCTGCTCTTTCCACCCAACGTTAATTTTGTACAACTCACAATGGCAAAATCCACGACCACAGTTGAGTGCCGTTGGAAACGGTCGGGTATTGGCTATGGAGAGAGCGCGACGGTGAGAAATGTGCTGCAGATGCGCACCAAAACAAAAAATTTCCCAAATCTCAAATGAAAGCGAAATTAAATTAATACGAGTACTATACAAACATACATACATACATACATACATACGGACAGACATGCTGAATAAACTTTAAATAATACAATAGTACTACAACTGAATGATTGGGTTTACGTAGACTGGGAACGCAAGCAGCGTTTATTGTTGTGGATGTCGCGCAAAGAGCAAGCGCAAAGAGACGACCAACGCGGTTGCTGGGTTCTAAACGCTCTCGGGCTCTCCGCATTGCATGGCGGCGGCACAGTACATTGCAGATGATGTATGTAGTGGTGACACCACTAGAACAACTCAGCGGCGGCGCTGACTCGTTGACATATAGCTGGCTGGCTGGCTGGCTGGCTGGCTGGTTGCTTCCGCTTCTAGACAAACGCAACGTTCTAGTTGGGACGAGCCGCTCTGGCAATCTGGTTGAAAATTCTTAATAGTACGTGTGCTACGAATATTGTGCGTTCGCAAGAAGACCGACCGCGCGCCCGCCCGCTGGACTTTTCTTCCACACGCCTACAAGCAGCAGTTTAGCCGTCAACTGTGAAAACAAAGCTGAACCAGCAGCAGCAGTTTGTTGGAACAAACAGATACGTTATTAAGGTGAATCTAAGGAGCCGCGGAAGGGCGGAAAACACTTGCATACGTACATATACATACATGTATGCATGTATGTATGTATGCAGCTTTGGGAAATAGCAGCAAAAATTGTGCGCACCACCCAGTGCGGTCATATTGGAAAATTAGTTACTGTGCTGTGCATATTTCTGACTTCGCTGCATATTGAAAGTGCATTGGTTGTACTAACTAGGTGAGTATGTGTAAATGTTTATTCATATGTATGTATGTATGTATGTATGTATGTATGTATGTGTGTGTATTTTATGAGAAAACTAAAACCGAATTTATGCATTATAGAAGTGCAAATCCATTGTGCAGTCAATTACCCGACAAAACGACATAACACACCAACAACAACAACAGCAACAATAACTGCAAGTGCGGCAGCACTAACAGAAAACGATAACGAAGCAAAAGTGCGATAGTGAAGTAAATAAAAAAAAAATAGAAACAAAAAATTCGTCACAACGACGTCTACCACGGTGGCAGCCACGGCGTTCACATCGGATACGCCGAATCAACAACAAATTTCACGGCGTCGACGTCGGCGAATAGTCGACCCTTCGCCGCCGCCGCCACCGCCTCCGCTGCCTCTATACCCAACTACCGCCAACGGCCACACCATTACTACGACCAGTCGTGTCGGTCGACGCGTGCGCCTACCGGTGCACCTGGCGACATCGGTGACGGCTCCCATAAGAACGGGAGCGTCATCTACGTTGGCTCCGAAAAAATTACGAACTTTGCGAAAATTGCTGTCGCGCGGCAAAAGAAGGCACCTCAAAGTGCGCAGTGCTAACAGCGGCGTCATCGGCATTCAACCACAGCAACATTTCAATAATATCATCAATAGCAACAACAATCAGAGTAGTATCGGCAACAATACAAATGCAATAGCCGATAGTGAAGATGCCATGAAAGTAAAGGAGCGCGAAAAAGTAATGGCTGATAAGAATTCAAATGAAGCATTGGAGGTGATTAAGGAAGCCGAAGTCGAAGGTGTCGTCCAACGAATGAACGGAGCAGCCGTGGATGCCTGCAAGTCGGAAAATGTAAGTGGTTTACACATATGTACATACGTACATATTTACATTAATCAATTGTGCATTCACTGATCAACAGTGGTTTTGGTGCCAAGCAGCTACAATTATTTTAAGACCTTATACTGCTTACATAAATAGAAAACAGAAAAACACAAATTTAACGTAACAATTTTATATTTTACGACTTGCGTCAGTACTAGTCAGCCATCATAGTCAATTTCTTAGTAGATATCTCTTTTCCATAGACAAGCCAAGTCTTGGTCCTCCTCGAATGGTGTCCGTTTTTCATTTCTTCAAATTTCAAATCACCCTGTACCGCAAAAAAAGCTCTAAATTCAAAATATTTGTACATGACAACTTATTGCACATTTACCGGCCTATACTTTGACATCTTACTTTAGAGATAAGAAATAACGGTGCAGATCTGATGATCTTCAAACACCTCAAAAATTTTCTAAATGTCAAAACTAAAGATTTCGTGAAACTCTTTCGTTCGACAATACATATTTCCATATTTCACATACATATGTAACTTGGGTAGAATTTAATTACATTCGACTTTTCAAACAGGTGCAGCCCTCTTCGAAATATTTTCAGACGACTGCCTTCCTAAACCCCTATTTCCCGGTGATACATATGTATGTCACCATATTCATAATTCAAATTACTTAAAAAAAACTTATGTTTTAACCAGGGATCGACCCACAAAATGGTAGTGCAGACCTCTAACCACTCGACCAATGTGGCCGCACACGATATTCATTCGCATGGGCAAATACCCGAGCGTTTTTCAATAGGAGTTCTATGCCATCAGTTTTCGTGCAGACGTAAATCTGCAGACATAAATATGTACATACTTACTGTACACATAAGAACCCAGCACATTGCTATTTTCAGCGACAAAAAGGTTGTACTAAAACCCATTTCATGTTTAAAGAATTTTGAGTACTCTAGGGGCACAAGGGGTCATAAAAACAAAGAGTGGAACTAAGAAACTGGCAGGCAAACAAGTGAACCAATAGCTACCCGAAAAATAGGACCGGTACCCTTCCTTGCGGCAGGACCATATACTGTCAGGAAAAAGGCCCTTGGCTAGGCTATCCAACTTATAGAAGTACAAGCTTAAGCCGTAAACTGAATGGTCATTGCAGGCTACGAGTCCCCTGAACACCATAGGAATCAGCACAGACTACGCCTTTCATTACTGTGATATGGCGGAACAAACCCTAATGCATATCCTTCTAGAATACAAGTCGGTCGACAACAAGCGCATTTTGCCCGAGATGGGTCTCATTGTGACTTTATAGCTTGTAGTTAGCCGAGCTCTCGTGAAGAGATTTGAGGCCACAGCAGACTTAATTTCGCAGCACATATTCTGTATTATATCTGTATACGTACCTATGTATCTAAAATTAATTCCCCACATGCCCATTTCCCTTTTTCATCCCACAGAAAGCTTCACCTTCACCTGCACTCCAGCAGCCTGCTCACGAAAAAATGCTCTATGATACGCGCATTCGGCGAAAAAATGTGCTGGCACTCAACGAGAAAGTGGCGGCCATACGCGAATATGAAAAATCACCGGTCTATAAGCGAGTTGGTCGCCTCTTCCATTGCAGTCCCGATCAGATAAAACGCATAGTACAGCAAAAGGATAGCATACTTGAGGCATGGCAACAACGTACGCGCCGCTGTCACGTGTTTCGATGCTGGGGAAAGCCGTCTTCGACTGGCTGCGACGTATGATCTACTACCAGGACATACACATAACCGATGGACTCATACAAAAGACAGCGTTGCAATTCAAGAGTGCAATGGGTCTGCAGAATTTCTTTCCGCATCAGGATTGGTGCGACAAATTTCGACAAACCTACAAAATATACACAAGTGATAGTAAATTGTTGAATATTGGCTACCCTCAGGGGTATTCAGTGCAAATTAAGGATGTCATGAAGGATGTGCTAAACGAGTGTACACCGGATGCGGGTAAGGCGCAGCTGCGTGATCAAGATGATGATGATGATGACGACGATGTTCAGGAAATAAAGGAAGAGCCTAAAAATAGCGACAATACTAGGGGGCGGCAAGAAGATGGTGGTGGCGAGGATATGGCGGCAAAGCGAAGACGTTTGAATGCCACTCAAAGTGGTACAATTGGCAGTGCGTCAAATGCTTCAAGCAGCACTCTAAATGCAACTGGAAATCCGCCCATTAATCGCATAAATTTGAGCAAAGTCAACATGAATACGCCCAATAAGAATGCAATGTCTTCTAATATTGAAAATAGAAGCGCTACACAGCCAGCGTTGCATAAGGTGCCAACGCCACAGATGCCACCATTGCGTCAACTGGTCGCATTGCCACTTCAGGGCAACGTCGCAGGCATGCCGCAAAAGGTGCTCGTCGCCACGCCCATTACACCTGCTGGTCAGGTGGGCGGCACAAAACCAATGACAATGACAATTATACCACTGGCGACCATAGCGCAATCGCAAAGCATGCAACCGGCCTCGGCAGCGGTGTCAGCTTCTGCGACGGCAGCTACTGCCAATGCGCTGACAGCTGCACTAGCTACAACAACGGCAACTGCAGCTACGCCGTCTTCAGATGCGGAAAAGTCAGCCGTGCCAACGCCTATGTTGGATATTAAAAAGGAAATCAAGCAAGAGCCGGTTGAAGTCAAAGAGGAATACATTTCGGATGCTGAAGTAGAAAGAGAAGGAGAAGCGGAAGAGGAAGAGGAGCCAGCGGCGACAGGGAATCCACAACAACAACAACGAAGCGCACATAGCATCCTGCAGTCGGCTGCGATTGCACCACAACGGAATTCTAAAAAGCGTCAAACTAATGCTTTTAACACCGATGCTGACGCCTCTCCGTCGAGTAGTGGCACAACGGTGGCAGAACGTGAATCGGCGGATGATGAAAATATCGCCTTGGCTAATTTGCGACGACTCATACAAACTCAAGGTAAAATTGTAGCCACTTCAACGCCACCACCACCAGTTGGCGTGCGTACTGCGATAGCAGCATCAGCGATACCGCCACTTGCGCCAAAACCTAACCCACCGCCCGTAACATTGACACCGATTACAGCTGCCATGAGCGATCGCCAAAATTTAGCAACTATATCAACGACTGCCATTACTTGCATACCTGCCGCCAACATATCTGCCATGAGCGGGTCATTGAGCTTCACTCCGCCCTTGCCGCCGTTGACGAAAGCACCAGATGCGGTTATAAATCGGATGGCGAATAAGCGGAAAAATACCGCAAATGATGGACCGATAATGCCGCCCATCAAAAGTTGTTCCGAGGCGCGTAAATACCTAAAGTTACTGGAAGACTTTGCATTGGTTAAAGAAAATTTTCGACTGATCGGTTTGATAACGCGCGCCGATGAAGTGCTGCGTGAGCTGGATGGTGACGATGATGTGGATGTGGATTAAGAGCGATCCGACGACGCTGGAGGGTTATTGGGATAATATTTTTGTAAGGCTGTATGCAATTAACTTGTGTACAGATGTAAGCACATACACACATACATACATTCATACGTATGTACATATAAATTTCGACATATAAAAGTTACTGTATCTATAGCTTTTTCTATGAGTACCAAAGCCGGTAATTGTTACCATAGTTTGTAAGTAAAGTGAGGAAGATGAATAAGGTACATTGAACAGGTAGTATCAGTAGAGCAGCTGATTTGATTTATTTTCAAATTATTTGGTCTCGAAAATGTCAAATATTTTTAATTTTTTCTCACAAAAATTCTGAATTGTTAAAATCCATTTGCATGTGAAACCTTTTCCATACAAAACAAGCGACTGAATAGCAGCCGCTGATTACTGGGCCTTGCAAAGGATGGATCAATGCTTCGAGAAGCAAACAAATTTACTAGGAAAGAAAGTTGCATCAATTTTTATTTTTTCCAATTTCAATTTTTTATTTTTTTATAATTTTTTGTATTTCACACGGCACGCTTTGATTTAGAAGAAAAAATTCAGAACAGTTTTTGACACTTTCGATATCAGAAGCAACAACAAAATACACGCAAATGTTGTTTTTGCTCTACTGATACTACCTGTTTAATGTGCCTTGATTGTTACCATAGTTTGTAAGTAAAGTGAGGAAGATGAATAGAAGTTTTCATACACACGTACATATGTATGTACATATATATGTACTTTGTTTTTTCTTCAATGCATATGAATTGATTTAATTTTATTGAACTGAATACCATGATACTTTTATGAATACTTTTATTTTTACACACCATGTAGGACATTAGAAGTCCACTAATTTTCATTAAAAATTCAATAAAATCACATACAGATGTCAATTCTTTAATTGAAATTGTTTTTTTTTAATGCAATTATTTGATTTAGGAGTTAGGCTCGCCGTAAAAGGTGTTGTACTAAAATTTTGTTGGACATCGTCTTCGGGAAAATTCTGGCAACTGTCTTTCAACTCACCACAATTGTCAATTCTGGCAATTGAAATTCTTGAAAGTTCTCTTCGGTATATCGAAAGACTAATTAAAAGATCTGCTAAGTAGGAAGTCTCGGCATTATTCTGTTTGGCTTTAAGCAATAAATAATAAAAACTTAGAATAAAAATAAAAATACATACATTGAAAAAGAAAAAAAATTAAATTCAAAAATATAAAGTTTAATAAAAATATTTTTCCAAGAATGAAATGATATAACAAATAGGTTTCCGTTAAAAAAAAATAAAATCTAAAAATTAAAAATAACTAATTAAAAAGGAAATATAAAATAAAATTAGTTCCTCGAAAGTAAGTTCTCTTGAAAGTTCTCTAAGGTATTTCGAAAGACTAATTAAAAGATCTGCGAACGAAGAAGTCCCATTATTATTCTGTTTGTCTTTAACCAATAAAAAATAAAAACTTAGAATTAAAATAAAAATGAATTAAAAAAAGAAAAAAATTAAATTCAAAATTATAAAATTTAATAAAAGTATATTTCCAAGAATGAAATGATTTAAAAAATATGTTTCCTTTTAAAAAAATAAAATCTAAAAATTAAAAACAAATATAAAATTAAAAAAGAAATATAAAATAAAATTAGTTCCTCGAAAGTAAGTAAAAATATTTTGCTTTGCAAAATGATATAATTAAAAAAATAAAAAATAAAATAACCATAAAGGGGTCATTCCATGTGCATATGTAAAAGAGGAAAACGACATAACCTTTAAAATGCCCTAATTATCTCTATTTCAGTAATAACAACTTTTAAATGAGTACATTTCATAAAATCTGTTGAAAAATATTTAAAAAAATAAAATCTAGTTGTAATTTTTATATATGGAAACTTTTACTTGATGCATAATTACTTTCCACCAGTCACAACTTTAAATATTTTTTAATATTTCTATGAAGATTATATAAACCGAACTTTTATTGAAAACGAAAGTGTATAATACATATTTTACAACACAAAAACATCGTTCGTGAAAATTAAGTTTTTTGATAAAAATTCATCTTTGATAGCAAAAAGGTAAAATAGAGTTCTTTTCAGTGCCCCACTAAGTTTCGACGACATAATTATAATTAACAATTGATCACATTCTGGAGTAAAATGTTCCCACCAGTCGCAGTTGAATGGCCCCAAAGACAAAATAAAATCCTAAAAATTAAATTAAATTGAAAAAAATATTTTTCTTTTTAAAACAATAAAATCAGAGTCCAAAACTAATTGTTATCTCGAATTTACAACTTGAAAGCGTTGATCGAATTCTGAAATTAAACGAAAACGTCGTTTCATAACAGTTATTAGATGAGAAATATTTTATGTTTCGTCTATAAGAGTTATAACCCAATGTATACTTTTTACGTTGCTTGATAACAGTTATTGCACGACGTTTATTTTTACGTTGTCTGATAATAAGAGTTATTTCACTATCTCACTTTTATTTCCATCATCTTTACCCCACTGGATCCGGAATTTCTGTCGACGTCCCTGGTCATAATGACGCTTCTTCACAAAGTAGAGAAAAAGTTTGATAAAGCTTTTTTGTGCTTTTTGGACATTTCTCATGCAGCAGACCGCCGAATTATAATATACTTTGGAACATATTCAATCCTGTATAGAAACCCAACTTTATTAGCTGCCTCAGATAGGGTTCAGCCCTTAGTCGGGAAAAACCGCCGTCATTCCAGTGAGTACAACCCATAACAGACGAACAGCTTCAGCTGCTGCTAGAGACAATTAAAATCTGGATACCGCAGTCGACTGACCAGACTTGACCCCTACATAACTAACTTATAGCTGCCTTGTGAAGGCTCCTCCCATAATACCAACAACCTCTTCAACTGGCCACTAAGCTATCATTTCGGGTCCCTTTCATTCGATCCCGTCAAAACAGCACATTTCCTGCGTCCACCGTTAGTTGAGCTAGGGGAGAGTGATCCCATGACTCGACACACCTCTTCGCATGCCTGACGAAATTCCACTCAATGAACGCCGCTCTCGCCTAGAGTGGCACACTTCCTGGGCCCTCCGTAAGTTTAGCTTGACGACAACGACTAGAAGATAAGCCGATCTAGGCAGGACTTAGTAAGGAGCTACAACAACAGTGTCGCTGAGATACTTTTCCGACCTAAACGTGGTTAGATCGCCGAAGCAACAGCCCACACAACCACCGGACATCGACGAGACGGAGCTTTATCTGCCTCGGAAGACTAGAACCACAATAGCCCAACTTCGCTCTGGCTACTGCAGCAGGTTAAACTTAAGATTAGATGCAGATGTGCCAAATGAGTGTCCGGCATGCGGAGAGACACCCCACCACTCGAAACAACTCTTCGTATGCCCGGTAAACCCGACAACATTAACGTCGCTGTCCCTGTGGACCGAGCCCATTGAGGCCGCATGTTTCCTGGGGCCTCCGTTAGTGGAGCTTGACGACAACAACTGAGATATTAACCGATCTGGACGGGGCTGTTGTAGCCGCTACAACAACAACAACAACAACAGTGTCGCAACAATCACAACAAGAGAGAGGTTTTTTCAGTTAGGCAAGCATTAAAGCTCGATACTCTCATATAGAAAATACAAAGTCCCTTACGGAATATCGCAGATCTCTGAATGAGATTGCCCAGCCTGGAGATTGGTAAAAGCCTTTACGAAAGAATGCGACGATAGGTCATATATGGCCAACTTTAGACAGTATGTAACAGATCACTTCGCACTAGTAGCCAATGAGCGATGAAAAAACCAATTTATCCGCATACATATTTCATGCTTGATAAACAACTGCTGCCATACAAGGAATCACACGGAATAGGTCCCTCGGATTTACGTAAAACCATCGTTTAATGCTAAAAGTACTTAAAAGGCCTTCCCAATATCTAGTACATACTTTTTTCCGAAGTAATATGCATACATATACNCCGTGCCACCTTACAAGCAATGAAAAAAATAATTAATTAGCCGAACCTAGGGGTCGCCATTTACAGTTTTTGCTGACATCTACATACAGTCCCCAATACAATTTTTTTTTATGAGAAAGATATGACGAAAAAAACGAATGTCACAACGCGACCTCTTGTCGTGCAACAATATTTTAAGACTCGGGATTGTACGGAAAAATTTTTTCCCGGTAGGTCTAATGAACATATGTATGTATGTACATATGCATATGTATG